TACAACTCTAAACGTACCTATTATATCACGAATTCAACAAAACACGATCATTTTCTTAATATGGTTCAAAGAATATGATCCTAAAACATTCATTAATACATAATATAGAGTATAATATTTTTCAAATTATTATGTTCTAACTCTTATACATCTACTAATTAATAATTAACTAACATAATCTTGTTGACAAGGGGGAAAGTGAAAGTGGAAAGTGAAAGTGTGAAAGGAGAATTGAGGGAAATGAATTAGGTTTTGATTAAAGTGGCCACTCAATTGCATTTCTACTATTTATTTCCTTGAGTTATCCTCATCACCATTGATAGATTACAATTTGATCCACATGTTTTTGTATATGTGAAGAAATTCTCTTGGTGGGGTGGATATGGGTATGGGTATGGGGCGGGGGAGGCTAAAACCATACCTGCCCCATACCCATCAAACTTTTTGCGGGTTTTACCCATACCCGCCCGATACCCGGTCAAAGCGGGGATTACCCGCGTTGACTGGGTCGGGGGCGGTCGGGTACCCGCGGTGTGTCTGGAACAAACAATCCTAGAGAAAACGTACATACTACATAGCATATTGGAAGTTAGAACTCATCTCACGTACAATTTTTAACCGTAGAAATGAGAAGGAAGCCGCGGGGACAGCAAAAGCTCCAAAGGAGCAGCTCTTAGGTTAGTAAACCCAGCCCCATCCTTCATATCAACATGCCTTTCAAACGGCGTCGTAAATTCAAACCCTTGCAAAGCCGTCGCCAACGTCAGATTAGGGGTGGACAACGGGAAATGGGTATTTAGGTATACCCGTACCCTTTCCGTTTTTTAGGGTTACGGGTACCCAAATATCCGTATTATTTATTACGGGATGAGACTTGGGATTAAGAATTTTCACAATGGGTACTCGCGGGTTACCCACTTATACCCGTTTGGATAGTATGGGTACCCGTAATACCCGTTACGATTTATTTCCTATACAAATACAACACTCCAATAGTTAATAGCTCACGATGAATGATGTGATCATCAAATGAAGCGCATAAACGCTTACTAAAAATTGATTACTGCAGATATTTGAGAAAGCTTGATTTCTCTGATAGCTCTTGAGAACATACTTAACACACATGATTTTAAATGTCCTTCGTGTGCTCTAATTATGGGTATGTGCTTCCCTCGCTAGGACTGTGATAGGGCAAAAGCGTATATGCCTTAATCCTATCTCATAATAAACCGAAAAATCCGGGTATCGTCTCTCAGGGACTGGTACAACCTTATATTATATCAATTCTATGGAGCAAACTATAAGTGAAAGTAGCTTAATGACACTAATTATCTAAAAGCAAAGCAAAATAAACTAATTAAGCAAAGTAAACTTGTCGGGAGAAGTTCAATGGAGAAAGCTCTGGGAGAAACACCGAAATTCACTACCTATCATATCCAGATTAATTCACATATTCCAATCAATTTAATCCATATCTCTACAGTCAGGATATCACTACTGTGCTACCTATCCCTGTATGGAATTACTACTTACTAATCAGTTAAATCGAATCCTGCTGTCGTAGCTCATCAAGTTAACTAATTAGCCCTAACGATCGATATCCTATTCATGACCGCATAGCATCTTATTTAATCCACTATCGCTTCGATCAGTTACCATGTCACATGAAATATGTTCAGTTATTAGGGTTTCATTGTCGCTAATAACCTAATTAACTACGAATCAATGTATTGGTGGCCAGTCAACACAAAGCATTAAGCCATTTCATGCAATAGAGATTGGAAGACAAGAAATATGAATCAATCCATCAAATCTAGAAAAAGCTACATCCTATGATGTTTCCCCCAGAAATTGGGGTTTAGTTCATGATGAAAACAAAAGAATCGATCATGTTCATAATCATCATGATATTGATCAAGAAAAATTGACGAAAATACTCTGGAAAAGGCTAAATTGGAGGCTGTTGATTCGTCGCCCAGCTCGCCAATCGAGTCTTCTCCGCAGTTGCTCGCTACGCCGCGCTGTTCCCCAATTAATCCCGTCGCCAGCTGTCGCTCCCTTGTGCTAACCCGTCTACAGCACTTGGTGGTAATGGTTTTACAGCCATTCCATAGTCAATCAGTTCTAAAACAAGCATTATATGACTCAAACATATCATGAAATAATCTCATGAAGCACATATGATCAATATGTTTTCGATAATTGTCACAACCCCACACTCAATACTTGCTTGTCCCTAAGCAGCAACTTAAACAAGAGAACAACAATTGGAGAAAACACATCACAGACCACACAGTGACGACCTTGCTCGAAACACAGAACACAAGACCCACGACACACAGAACACAACATCAACACCAGAAATTTACCCTTGTACTCTTGTGATAATCAGCAGTTTCTTTCTCAAAAGATGGGTTGTGCTTTAATGATCATACCTTTCACCCCACACTCAAGTTCTTTGCCACCATTAACCATTGATTGACTCAAATCCACCAAAAACTCAATTAGCAAGCACTCAATTCAAGTCGTCGGTAGTGGGTGATTAACAACTTATGGTGCAACAATTATTAGGAGAATCTAACCACGTTAGTGAGGTGCATATCTCATGAGGACAATCTGGCTTATTCACATCAATCATAAGCACCCAACTAAGTACAAGAGTCTCAAAAACTAATGGGGGAAGCTTTTAGCAAACTTGGTTTTAACTTTAAGCACATCACTACCTTTCTGACAAGGAGAGGCTTTCTCTCTTTCTGATTTTGCTTGCCGAGAAGTCATATTTAGTACAAGTGGGATTCATTTCTTACTACCGCTGACCGAGCAAGAGCAATTTCTGCTTCTTAGCACTCGCATAAGGGCTTCTTTCAACTCCTTTTCCTCGGTCCGTGTGGAGCATCACTGCACATCCTCAAACGACACTTCACTCAACGGGGAATCGTACTTGATAAGCAACATCGTACGATCGCGAACCGATGCTCAGTTGAACCTTTACTTGTCAGGTAGGATTTTTCCTTTTATAAAGATACAGTTCACCCCATCTAAAACATTCAAAACAGAGAGACTCATTGCAAAATCAAAATCTCACAATAGATGCAAGTAAGCACGGTATCCAAACATGTCGAATGGTCAATGTTCTCCACCTAACCACTTCACCAAAAGTCATTACACTATCCTCACAAAATAGAATGTTGCTAATAGAGTCTGCTAATTCAAAGTATATCAAGTCAGTCAAAACATTAAGCTCATTGTGAAGAACTATGCAATTCAACACTAGTGGGGGTGATTTTGATGATTTCATTCATGCACAAACTCATTTCACCGCATCACGGTCATTTACATCATGTTACCACAAGAGTACAAGGTTTTATTTTTAATTTTTCTGATTTTTAGGTGTTTTTTAGCCATTAGGTTAGCACAGGCAGATTGCACCAGCACAGGTAGACCGCATGCAGTTTGGCTGTGCACAACCCAAATGACAAAAAAAATAAAAAATTTACCACATGCAACAGGGACAACAACACTAAGACTCACCACCCCACACTCAGGATGGAACACTGTCCCTAATGTTCAACTCCTAATCTAAACATACATGGGTTTGACACAATTAAAAAGAAAAATAACGAAAAGAAAACTCACCTTGGGTTGCCTCTCAAGAAGCGCTTGTTTAACGTCCTCAGCCTGACGTTCATGGAGCTTTCAACCAATGGGTATGGAAAGGTATCCAGAATACCCTCCCGAGCAATGATAGAACTCATAACCTCCATCCAACATATGAGTCACCTCTGCAGGCCCAGGTGTGCGAAAATTTGGTGTGACCTTCTTCGTTGGCATGTTGGATCCTTCAGTAAGGCGTAGGTGGTATTGCAGCGCCTCAAGCAAGTACTCTTCCTGTTTCGATGTCAGTGAAGAAGGAATAATAACAGGAAGATTGAAATCCTTACCCAGGGGAAAGAAGTTGAATGGGCATGTGGCCCAATATTGCTTGTTAACAAAGGAAATAATCACTTTTGATCCAAAACAGAAAGAGCCGGTTTGTTGTCCGATGGCTTGGTGAATCATTTTTCCTGTACACTTTTGTATTCTTTCTGAGCTGCGGAAATCCATTTTCTTCACCTAAAATACATAGAATTCATGGCACTTGGTGGTAATGGTTTTACAGCCATTCCAATCAGTTCTAAAACAAGCATTATATGTCTCAAACATATCATGAAATAATCTCATGAAGCACGTATGATCAATATGTTTTCGATAATTATCAGACGGTAACTTTGGATAGAAAAATCTGCACAATCAAATAATATATTAAAAATAGGAAACAGATTAATATTTGTTTCTTTCTTAAGTAGCTTCTCAACTGCAGGGTTATCTAAGTTACTGATCCTCTTGACCTTGAGATCCTTTGTTACTTGTCTGAAATTAATCTTAGGATTAATTGCTTGCATCTTCCGGAATTGGTAATAACTTCAATAGCAGGTCTGGATCGTTCAGCTAGAACCAGAGCTATTCCATTCATTTACATCGAATTGCGAGACGCCGCACCAGAGCGCCAAAGCACAGCAGCGAAGAAGAGAATGCACAAGCTGTCTTTCGAATTCTCTCATTGTGCTAGTAACCTCCTCCAGTTGTTTACTCTGTGGAGTATAATTTTTTATCTTGTCAAGCCTCTGGAAGCCATTTCTGCGACACTGAGTGGGATAAAATGTTCAATTGTGAGAAAGACGAGCACGCATGAATTGAAGTGGAGGGGAAGCTCAAATAACAAAATCCACCAAAATTATGGGTACCCGCGGGCCGCGGGTACCCATTATCCGTCTCGTACGGGTAATGGGTACCTGGGGTTTGGGACATGGGATGAAGTTTACTCTCCAAATGGAATTGGGTACCCGTTTCAAATGGGACGGGTACCCAATCCCGTCCTGTTGCCCACCTCTACGTCAGATGCATAACCTGGAAAGCAAACAACGCCCCGGGGCACATCCTCCGACCACTACTAAACGGTATCATCTCGAAGCTCTGACGCTTAACATCAACATCCTTGTGCTCCCTCGCTGTGAGAAATCTCTCCGGCCGAAACTCGTCGGGATATCCGGCGACCACACGGTCTGGTCGCGCTGAATCTTGTAGAGGTTGACGAGTAGCCTCATTCCCCTGGAGACGTGGCGGCCGGGGATGAGAGAGTCGGAAGAGGACTCATCGCGCATTATGATCGGCGCTGCCGGGTAAAACTAAAAAAGTTACGCTGTTATACTTCTAGATCACAGTAAGACTTCTCCTTAAAATCATACTTTTTACAGCATTGTATAAACTAAAAGTAATGATAAACAATGGTAAAATCGAATCTAATTAGTAGGTACCAATACCATACAAGTAGCTTTGTTAATTATCTAAGAATCACGACCGTCAATCCCCTCACCATCACCAACAACCTTAAGAATCACATCCATAAAATCCTCCACCGCCACCTTCCCACCAACACCGCCATCCAAACCACCTTTCAACCTCTTCCCTTTGTGCTCCTCCAACCACTCTCCGACCAGAGTATCAAACTCCTCCACCGTCTTCTTCATCGCCTTCTCATACCCTCCGACTGTTGAACAAACACAAAGTTCTAAACAGAAAGATAATTGACACCGAGTTTACGTGGTTTCCTCGTTCGGTGAGAACGAGACTAGTCCACGGCCGAAGCAGTTGTGTTCTCTTATTCAATTCCCAAACACATACGTCCAAGGCACTATTTATATGCCTACACCGCAACCCTAACCTGCCTAGCTGACCGAGCTTTAAGAGGAGAAGGAAACTCGGCAGCAGGTCTCCAAATCACTACCAACTACACATGTCCAATAGTCCAATAATCATACATACAATGGGCCTAAGCCTACTAACATAAATCAGCATATCACTCAACAGCCTCCCCCAAATTGATGGAGGTCTTGCACCATCAATTTGCGAGCAAGATAACTGTGTCAACTAGCAGTGAAAGCCTTCGTTAAGAGATCTGCGATCTGGTCTTCAGACGAAATGTAGATAATACGCAATGTACCGGCAAGAACTAAGTCTCGAATGTAATGGACATGCACCTCGATGTGCTTAGTACGGTCGTGAAGAACTGAATTAGTAGCAATCCGAATGGCACTCGTATTATCCACATAGAGCTGCATGAGAGTCTCGCACTGGATGCCAAAGTCCCCAATTAGTCTCGAATGTAATGACCCATCTGCCAAATCCCAGTCCCATTTAAAATCTAATTAATCTCCTTCTCTTCGTTGGAGAATGAAAACTCAATACCAATAAAATTAAAGCTCTCAGCCTGTGACTCTCCATATTCCCAATTACAATTCCCAACCTTTTTTGACAGAACCCTTGCTTGCTTCCCCTTCTTCTATTATCGACAACTCATTGTCAGGCGGCACTCGACAGCTTCTAAACCCCCCAGCGCATACTATATATCACAACACCTGTAAGTATTGCTTTCCTTTGTTGTATTGCACTTTCTTTAATTTTTTATTTAGTTGAAGTAGAAGAATGGACATGGACGCAAGCAGTAGTCCATGGAGTTCTTCCTTTTTTAGTTTCAGTTTTTACTTTGTCCTTTACTCCTTTATAATAAGTTAATAACTATAATTTTCATTGTTAATCAATCAGCTTACGTAGTTATTTACCTTTTGAAATCAGATATGGACAAGTATTTGATAAAGAGACCGAGGGCTGAGCAAAATTCGAATAATGGTAGTGGAGAAGCTCAATCTTCTTCACCTTCGTTGAATCAAACTGCTATCCCTTCAAGTAAGTCTTCTTCTAGACCTACAGAATATGAGATAGATGATGTGGATAATTTGGAAGCTGATCCGGGGTTAAGGAGAAAGTTTTCAACTTTTCCTGCTAATAAGCAAGATGAAATCAGAAGAGCGTATCTTCAAAAGGGGCCTTGTCAACCAGCAGGTCCTACTTTCCCCATTACAGAGATGAGCGGATTTAATCGCAAATTCAATCCAGATTGGTATGTTGATTATAAAACATGGCTAGAATACAGTGTTGCGAAAGATGCTCTATATTGCCTACCTTGCTATTTGTTTAGATCAAGTGTTGGTAAAAAAGGTGGAGGAGAAGCTTTCATTAGTCAAGGTGTTAAATGTTGGAATAGGAAAAAGGCTTTGGATGATCATGTGGGTGGACCAAATAGTTCTCATAATGTGGCTGCCAGGAAAGGTGAAGATTTGTTGAAACAGTCACAGAGCATTTCAAGTGTCTTAATAAGGCAATCAGATAAAGCCAAAAGTGAGTATCGAACACGTTTGCAAGCCTCGATTACTACAACTAAGGTTCTTCTACGGCAAGGAGTGTCATTTCGTGGTCATGATGAAAGTGAATTCTCAGAAAACAGAGGAAACTTTCTTGAATTTTTGGAAGTTATTGCTAATGAGAATCCGGATGTGCGCAGTGTTGTGTTGGAAAATGCTCCAAAAAATCATCAATTGACATCTCCAAAGATTCAAAAAGATATTGTTCGTGCAATAGCATCTCTAACAACAAAGGAGATTATCAAAGATCTTGGAGATGCATTTTTTTGCATATTGGTGGATGAATCTCGTGATGTATCAACCAAAGAGCAGATGGCTGTTGCTATACGTTATGTGGATAAAAAATGTTGTATTATAGAGAGATTTCTCGGTATTTCTCATGTCACTGATACCAAAGCCACTACACTTAAGAAGGAGATTGAGTCAATGCTTGGGTTACATGGATTGAGTTTGTCAAGGATAAAGGGGTAGGGATATGATGGAGCTAGCAATGTGAGAGGAGAAATCAACGGGTTGAAATCTTTAATTCTGGAAGAGAATCCATCTGCTCATTATATTCATTGCTTTGCTCACCAACTTCAGTTAACACTGGTTACTGTTGCGAGAAATCATGGGGAAGTCAACCGCTTCTTTGGTCATGTCATTGCCTTGATTAATTTGATTGGAGGATCTCCCAGACGACGTGACAGTCTTCGAGACAGCCAAGCCACTAAAGTAATTGAGGCTATAGCTAGTGGTGAACGAGAGAGTGGAAGAGGGTTGAATCAAGAAGTAGGTCTTAAAAGGCCGGGAGATACTCGTTGGGGATCACATTTTGGTACTCTTATTAACCTGATGGATATCTTCGCTGCTGTGGTTTATGTGCTGAAGGATATGTATTATGATGAAAGTGTTGATTTGAGAGGTTACGCGCTTGATCAGTTGTATATTATTCAAACTTTTGAGTTTGTCTTTTTTATGAAGTTCATGATTGAAGTGCTTGGAATTACAAATGAGTTGTCCATAGCACTTCAAAGGAAAGATCAAGACATTGTCAATGCTATGCAACTAACTACGTGCTCAAAAGATAGATTGCAGAAGTTAAGAGATGAAGGATGGGAGCCTCTTCTTGATGATGTGATTTCATTCTACACCAAAGAACAAATTCATGTTCCTAACATGAATGACTTGTTCGTTCTTCCTGGAAGAACAAGGCGTAACCCTCATCAACCCACAAACTTTCATCACTTTCAAGTTGAAGTGTTCTATGCAGTTGTGGATATGCAGTTGCAAGAGTTGAACAACCGATTTAGTGAGGTGAATACTCAATTGCTGGCTTGTATTGGTTGTTTTAGTCCAGCTAACTCATTTGCTGCTTTTGATAAAGAAAAGTTGATGAGTCTTACCAAGTTCTACCCCATTGAGTTTCCTTCTTCTATGCTTACACGACTTGATAGACAATTGATGGGGTATATTTCTCATGTCAAGTGTGATGAGGCATTCAAAGATTTGCGAAGAATCGATGAGCTGGCTAGGCGAATGGTGGAGAGAGGAAAGGATAATTTATATCCCTTGGTATATCTGCTTTTGAAGTTAGTGTTGACTTTACCAGTTTCAACCGCAAGCGTGGAGAGAGCCTTTTCAGCAATGAAATTCGTCAAGAACGATCTTCGAAATCGTATGGGGGACCAATTTATGAATGATTGTTTGGTCACATTCATTGAAAAAGGCGTGAGTCGCAACATAAGTGATGAATGTATTATAGAAACTTTTCAGAATATGAAAACACGTCGTGGTTCGCTATGAGATACGATGAATTGATGTACTTTATGAATTAAACTTTTTAATTTTAATTTATTTATAATTTTTTTTGAATACCCTTGACAAAATTTCTGGGTCCGCCACTGGCTTCGGTGGAGGACTTGGAGACTTTATCCTGCTTCTTGCACCACCAAGAGATAAACGAACCACCGAGCCGAACACACCAACCACTCGTGGAGCAACGAGTGTCGATACAACCTGCATAATCAGAATCAGAAAAAGCCTGGAGAGTCAATGAACCAGTAGCCGGGAAAAACACCCCAGCTGTCCGCGTCCCCTGGAGGTATCGTAGAATCCGATGAACAACATCAAGGTGACTGGTACGAGGTGCAGACATGAATTGACTAACTACTTGAACAACATAGGCAATGTCAGGACGAGTAGAAGTCAAGTATATCAAGCTGCCAACCACACTTCGATAATGCTTTCCACCATCAGATAATGGTTCACCTGTCTCCCTCCCCAACTTTAGGTTCATTTCCATAGGCGTAGAAACGGGAAGACACTCACCATAACGAGAAGAATCCAGTAAATCATCAATGTACTTGGATTGGCTGAGAAAAATCCCCCAGGAGGACCGCGTTACCTCCAACCCCAGGAAATAAGATAGAGACCCAAACTCCTTAAGCCGAAAAGAATCATGAAGACCCTTAGTGAGTTTGGCAATGCCCTCATGATCATCGCCAGAAACAATCATATCGTCAACGTAGAGAAGCAGAATAACAATGCCACGAGAAGAACGCCGAGTGAACAGAGAAGGCTCATTCGGACTCTGCTGAAAACCAAATGCAAAGACAGTAGCATGAAACTTATCAAACTAGGCCCGGGGGACCTGTTTCAAACCATAAAGAGACCGTTGCAAGAGACAGACCTGATCAGGCGTAGCATGAGGATAACCAGGAGGATGTTCCATGTAGACAGTCTCCTGCAAATCCCCATGTAAGAAGGCATTCTTGACGTCAAGCTGGTAGAGAGGCCAACGAAGAAGAGATGTCACAGCAAGAAGCGAACGAACTGACACCATCTTCGCAACTGGAGCAAAGGTCTCACGGAAATCCACACCATATTCCTGACTAAAACCCTAAGCCACAACTCGTGCCTTAAACCGTTCAATGGAGCCATCAGGGAGCATCTTCAGATTGTAAACCCACTTACTGCCAATCACAGGAATCGGAGGAGGAGGTCTAGGGACAAGGACCCAAGTCTGATTGGAATGCAGAGCATCGAACTCCTCATCCATGGCTGCGTCCCATAATGGATTACCATGAGCTTGAGAATCCGAGTGGGTATAGGGACTGGATCCACCTGATAGCACGCATAGTCTTGAAGGCGAAGAGGTGGCTGGCCTTGAGTTGCACGGTTTGAGCGACGGGGAGGAAGCACGGCGGAGTGGTGACGAGTTGGTGAGATGAAGAGGCACTGTCTGGCAAGGATGGTGGGGAGGGGGCGGAGTGACAAGAGGTAGCAAATCATCATCATTAGCATCGACAACATCATCGAGATCCGAGAAGGATGGCAATGCTAAGGAAGTATCAAACAAGGGAGGAGACTTAGTAGAAGAAGAATAGAACATAAGATTTTCAAAAAAGACTACATTACAAGCGATACGTAGACGACGAGCAGAAGACTCATAGCATAGGTACCCCTTGTGAATGTCACTGTAACCAAGAAACACACAACGGACAGTTTTAGACGTAAGCTTACTATGCTCAGAACGAGGAAGAAGAACAAAACAGAGGCACCCGAACACAAGGAGATAAGAGTAAGGAGGATGTTTCGAAAACAGACGATAGAAAGGACTAGACTGGCTTAAGACGGGGGTAATCTGATAGTTTATAAGACGAACTGCGGTAGATACCTCCTCAGGCCAAAAAGATGACAGAACATGGGAGGCCAGGAGGAGAGCACGGGTTACCTCGAGAACGTGTCTATTCTTACATTCCACTAGGCCATTCTGCTGGGAAACCCTGGGACATGATTTTTGAGAAAGAATACCAAGTGAATGATAAAGCTGCAGCAAAGGACCTGAGCTAAACTCCCCCAGGATCTGATCGGACTACACAAATAGGTCTATCAAATTGGGTCTTAATCATTTGGAAGAAGTCAGTGGCAACAGGCAAGAGGTCAGATTTAAGTCGCAAAAAATAAACCCATGTGTAACGAGTGGCGTGGTCTATGAATAAAGCAAAATATTTGTATCCAAGGCGAGAAGTGACCGGACTATAACCCCAAAGATCGGTGTGGATGAGATGAAAGGGCTCAGTTATACTAGTTTGGCTAGACGGAAAAGAGATGTTGGTAGTCTTAGCCTCCACGCAACTAGTGCATGCCATACCAAAAGAACGATCAACATCAATGGATTTACCGAATAAATTCTGTTTAAACATAGTGACCAATTTACGAGAGTTGGGATAACCCATGCGAGCATACCAAAGCTGAAACGTATCATGAGAATGACAAGAATAGACTGACGGAAAACCCTAGACACTGAACCGATCGAAGACAAGGAAGGCGAAGAAGATGATGATGACGCTGCCGTGGGGTCCTGAAGCTGCTCCAGGTGAAAAATCCGACCCCGTTTGCTACCTCTGCCTATCTCCCGCCCCATCTTCAGGTCCTGTACAGAACAACCGAAGGGTGCGAAGACAACCTGACACCCATTATCAGTTAATTGGCCAACAGAACCAAGACTCGGGAGAATTTGAGGCACATGATAAGTGTCAAGTAATATAACATCAGAATCACGAACATCACCCATCATATCCACACGCATAGTTTCGCCATTGGCAACTTGGAGAGAAAGCTCATTAACGGGACGTTTAGCAGAAAGAACAGAAGCATTGTTCGTCATAAGATTAAAGCAGGCCGAATCAAGTATCCAGTTCGGAGCATTACCTGAAGCTTTGAGACTCGCAAAAGCTGAGGCAATAGCCTTGTTGACGAGCCCCTCTAAGGCAGCGGGGGTGAGCGTAATCCCATCGATAGACACAGCAGTCTGTGTTGCATAGGCAGGTCGTGCGGGAGGAGTGCCTGAAGGTGCGTTGCTGCTGCTGTCTCCACCTGACCACGATTTGCCCCCACCATTCATTCGGTTTTGTAGATATCGACAATCCGGAATAATATGCCCCGACTTCTTGCACCAAACACAGAAGTTTCTTTTGCGACAATATTTCTGTGTATGCCCCTTTTCATGACAATGATGGCATTCCACGTCGCGGCGCTGATTCGATGGACGGTAAGTAGCAAAAACCTTAAAAGACGTACCTGATTCGGCTCCTTCAGCAGCAGCAGGGGTCGAGCTAGAGGAACCCCGAGTAGCTCCTTTAGGCATCGACGAGAAAACAGATGTCTCACTGGGACCATGGCGCGTTTCGAGTGCAGCTTGAGTTTGCTGCCTGGTTTCTTCTCGGACGAGGGTGCTGAGGACACCCTCCATCTTCAGGTCCTCGCGGTTGAGCAAAGTAGACCGGACAGCCTCGTAGTCGGGACGGAGTCGCGCCAAAAATTGAAGCAGGAGAATTTTCTGCCTCTCACGTTGAACTTCAGCCGATGCTTGACCAGAAACAAGCGCCGCCGTCAACAAATCCTGTTCCGTCCAGAGTAGTCGTGCCACATTGAAGTACGTTGTGATGTCCATGTCCCCTTGGTGAAGGTTCGCCAATTCGACTTCT